AAAGTAGAGATAGTGTCTGTCTCCTGAATCCAAACTGGAAGCTGGTTCCACAGAAGAGGGGCCTGAAAACTGAAGGCTCTGCCTCCCATTTCAGTATGAAAGCAGCAGACACAACGATGCTTTTAGTCTTTACCCTTTGGATTAATATCCAAAATAAAGGACACCATGCTACAAATTTAGGGTCATTTAAGGGCACATCATTTTTTATGAGAAGTGTGTATGAAGGCATATTATAGTGACCAATCATGGAACTAACAGTTAGTATTATGTAGAAGGGAGTCGACACAGGAGACAGACTTAAATGAAAAAGAACTGATTAAACATCAACTAACAAACACAAAGGCCAACATAGACTGATGTAAAGGGGGAGGATGAGAGAGCGATGCCTGACAGCTGATGGACCTGGTAAGACTCTCCCATGTATACCATTTGCCAGAGGGGTGGATGCTGGCTCAAAGAGCGCATGGCCAGATTAATGGGAAAATTAATGAATGAAGACTTTCTGTATTATTACTTTGTCTCATTTCCTCCTCACCTGTTGTGTCTCTTCGGTCTTTCTCAGACATTGACGAGTGCTCCTTTGAGAGAACCTGTGATCACACATGCATCAACTACCCTGGCAGCTTTGAGTGCTTGTGCAACAAAGGATACATCCTGTACGGTCTGACTCACTGTGGAGGTGAGTGTCAGTTCAGATTTGTTTCCCAGAGAAAGAGAAGAATACATGAAACACAACAAGATGATGAAACTGACTTTTTAACACAGTTTTTATCTAGTCTTAGACAATCGATAGGATCCGTTCGTTTGTGTATAGGTGTGAAGAAAAGGAAACATAGAAACAGCAGGTAGAGTTGGAGGAGCTGGAGTGACAAGACTGGAAATGAGGATATCAGAGGGAAAACTACAGGCCAGGCTGAGATGGTGTAGATATATTGGGCAAAGGGTGTTTAATATATGTGGCGACCCCTAAAGGGAGCAGCTGAGAGAAGAAGAAAAAGTTCCTCAAACAGCAACAAGAGAACAAGAGCTATGAATGAAGTCAGACAAATCACATTTCATTGAAAATTACAGAAATCCCCCAACATCAAAACAATGACAGCAGAAGTAACATTAATAATCTGTAACAGGGCCATTTGCCAAGATGTGCAGTGAGCTCTTCAGTTTGATGTGTTTGCTTGTTGTGATGGTCAAAGATGACCATGATCTCAGTATGCAGTGCTTAGTACTTCCTTTGACCAGTACTAATGCTCGTCAAAGGAAGTACAGCTGGTAAAGCACTGGCAGGGCCACTAATGCGTGACACAATAGCTCTAATCTGACAGAAGGCTAAAAACACAATGCTGTGTGTGCTAGAAAGGCATCGAGACACACAGGAAATGACAGCCTGCTGTGTAAGGGCTGTGTTTTATATACTGAAGGTCATGACGATGCACGTACTCTGCTGGTATCACCTGTAAAGGGCATGAATCACACAGCAATGGAAAAAGGTCATTTAATTTTTGAAAAGGTAGCAAAGCTGTCTAAGGAGCCTGGATAGAAACGGTTCTTGAAGACGTTTCAGCTCTCACCCAAGAAGCTTCTGAGAACTAAAGACAGGAAACATCTAAGCAGAGAAGTAAGCTGTGAAAGCAGGAAAAAATAGTGACAACACTGAAGCGCTTTGGTGTTCTGAAGGCAGATGTTTTCACCTTTAGCAGCTTTAGATATCATGTCCCTAAGAGGCAGTTACGTATGTACAGTAGGGAGAGAGGCTAGATTCTCTACAGTTTGAGGCAATGAACAGACTTGTAAAATGGACAAAGAGTCCTTGAGAAATGTAAAACTTAGTCAAGATTTCGGGTTGATGTGTGATTTGGAACGGAGAACTTTGTAAGTAAATTGTACTCTGTGGGCAGAGTTTAGTGTCTTCTAGGGCCGTTAATCCTAAAGTGCTGGTACATGGCTGGTCTCTAACTTACTTCTCTTTCCTTTCATTTCCACTGCATGATGTCCAATAATACCATCCATCCTTTTCAGGGTCGCGGGGGGCGCTGGAGCCTATCCCAGCTGTCATAGGGCGAGAGGCGGGTACACCCTGGACAGGTCGCCAGCAGGGCCTGTCCAATAATACCCTCAAATATAAATAATAAGAAGGAGAGATTTAAAAAACCCAAAGAACACAGAATGAGACTCCAGGATGACGTTCATGTTTAACTGCTGCTAAATTAACCTGAAACAATAGACAGAGTCTAAAATGACCTTTAAGCCATATTCACCTGCAACCTTTCCTTAAAGAGCACTAAGAGTGTTGCATAACTCAATCCATCAATTTTCCTAAGTGTTGATCCAGCTAAGAGTTGTGCTGGGAGTGAGGGGGTGTGGGTGGGGGGCTTGCCTGGAGCCTATCCCAGCTATTACAGGGTGGGAGGTGGGATACACCCTGTACAAATCGCCTCTCCTTCGCGGTGCATGAAATCCATTAGACGTGAAAGCTGAAAAGTGAAACGCCAACACACGTGCTGTAATCCTGTCTTTGTCTTAGACATCGATGAGTGCAGCATCAACAACGGCAGCTGTGAGCACGGCTGCATAAACACCCAGGGCAGCTACGAGTGTGTGTGTCCACCTGGACAGAAGCTCCACTGGAACAAGAAAGATTGCATCGGTAAGCAGCAGCCCACACACACCTGTGTGTACGTTTGTGAATGTGCGAGGCGGACAGATCACACAACAGAAGTGATATGACTCTGTACTCCTCAGAGGGAGTGAAATGTCTGCCCAATGGGAAGCCAGCACCTCGAGCCCAGCTAACCTGCATCAAGAGCGGAGGAGCTGAGGTCTGCTCGCTGTCCTGTCCCTCCAATGCCCTCTTCCTCGCAGGTGTGCACAAACACACTCATGTTGGCGTCTCATGGCAGAACACAGTGTTTCCTATTAATCATGTATTTTTCTATTTTTGTCTGTGAACTTTTGGGGCTGTGATGTTCAGATTTGTACCAGGACGTGTTCTATATGTAGGAGTAGGGATGGGTATCGTTTAGGTTTTATCCGATACC